AAATACATTATTAATATAAATAAATAAATACAGGTATACAGCTTTTCATGTATCTTTCCTACCTTGATTCCCATTGGCTCTACCAGTTGTCTATTACATATACATCACATAGCTTTTTCTACTACATACTCTGTTTTAGGGAGGGGGTTTCTTACTTTAGATGAATTCAGTTGCTTTCATTAGAATGAGTCCTGCATCAGGAATGGATAATTCTCACTGCCACCGGAGTTAAAAAAGCGTAGCTATGATTTTTTTAAACTGAAAGGTGTATGTCATATTCATGATAATTCTATTTTTGTACTTGTTTATGTATGCCCTTTACATTCACACCAGGTTCTATTCACACCTGTCCTGTTTTCCCTATCTGTAAAGTAGTCTCAAAAACTAAAGAAAAGACGGAAGAAAATTATTGATTTATTCGTTCTAAATGAGCAGAACTGTGAAGTAACTGAGCTGCCAATCAAAACGTGACTTCTTAAAATTAGCTCTATTGCAGTATAACATTTGTTATTATATGATGCTTCCTTCTGACTTACATATTGATATGCAATTGGACAATTCTCCTGGCATGTCATAGGCTTAGATATGCATTTATGTTAATATCTCAAACTAGATATTCAGACTACGTGCAGCCAGAAAAAAAATCACATGTACAGGAATTGCAAAAATTGTAAGAATTTATATGAAAATCAGTTTTTACTTTGAATGTCTTATTTTGTTGAAACTTATGAATTATTTTCCTCTTTTAACTTAGCTAAACTCTTTTAATACATTTTGAATCTGCCTTAAAATGTCACTTATATTTTATAGTATATTTTGTAGGACAGAACATGCAGTGACAATTATCTATGTTTGGAAGGTTCTCATTAGTGTTGTAATCTTTTTTGCAGCATAGTATGACTGGACCAAAATTTAGGAGAATTATGGAATATTGTTTTCTTCCAATGATATGTCTCTTTGTTCCTGGCTCCTGCTAAGACTCTCTTTCTGTTTCTGCAATCTGAAGTTGTAGCACGAATTGTATTCCCTTTTTTTTTTCATCTGAAGTGACCTTTGGCAGGCTTCCTCTAGCACTGAACCATATGCATATGGGTCATCTTGGATTGCAGGAAATAATTTCCTATAGGAAAGCTGTAAAATCAGGATACTGTCTTCCAGAAATATGTGAAAATTAGGTATTTTGGCTTGTATTTGGCTTTCTCTCATTCCTATGAGCTTGTCCAATACTGCACTATATTTTACAAATTCTGATTTAAATTCTTTCCATTGAACAGGAAGCCATAGTTTTCCACTTCATCCAGCTGTTGCTTCACTTGGTTACACGTTATCCAGAGAATGTTACTGTGCTTTCATTTTCCAATACAGAAGAAAACTTCTAGTTGTTTTGGTATACTCAAAAATTTGGGAAGAATTTTTCTATAAATTTATAGGAGAGGTGTAGAACAAGATGTGATTACTTTAGTAGTAATATATGTCTAAATTTGGGAGGTTATTTCTGAAGAGAAAAAGTACTGAGGAAAGGTTTCCAGTTCATGAAAGGCACTCAGCAGAAAAGACATAGTGCTGGGAATATGCAGTGTTTTCATTATATGAAATTAGTGTTTGTGAAATACTGGAACTTTTTGCTCAAAATCAGTGAATACCAGAATTTTTTCTGATAAAACTTTGCTTGTGTTAGAGTTTCCTAGCAGATATTTGTCAGGTTTCTTACATCTTGCTTATTTGTTTCTCCGTATCCTATATCTGTATCCCTGGCTTGCTAACCTCCAAGATGTCAGCAGTCCACACTATATATTTAGAATAGCAAAAGAAACAATTTTCATGGCATCAGTGATGTCAAGGCTTCCTCAAATCTTAGCTCATCAGCAAATCTGGCTGGAAGTTTTCTAAGGAAACACAGTTTGACTAGAAAATGCCAGTTCATCAAACCTGAATATGGTTTATAAAAATTAACATGATTCAGTGAACCACAGACAGCTCACCTTACAGTCTACTGGAAATGCCATACGTCTGGGTTGGTGATTCACAGAATCACAGAATGGTTAAGGTTGGAAAGGACCTCTGGAAGTCACCTGGTCCAAACCTCTTGCTCAAGCAGGGCCTCCTAGAGCTGGTTGCCCAGAACCGTGTCCAGATGGCTTCTGGATATCTCCAAGGAAGACGACTCCACAACCTCTCTGGGCAACCTGTGCCAGTGCTCAGTCACCCTCACAGTAAAACATGTTTCCTGATACTCAGATGAAACCTGTGTTCCAGTTTGTGCCTGTTGCCTCTTGTCCTGTCACTGGGAACCACTGAAAAGAGGCTGACTCCATCTCCTTTACACCCTCCCTTCAGGTATTTATATACATTGATGAGATCCCCCCTGAGCCTTCTCCAGGCTGAACAGTTCTAGCTCTCTCAGCCTTTCCTCATAGAAGAGATGCCCTCACTTATCTTAGTGACCTTTCACTGGACTCTCTCCAGTATGTCCATGTCTCTCTTGTACTGGGGAGCCCCGAAGTGGACACAGCACTCCAGGTGTGGCCTCCCCAGTGCTGAGTAGAGGGGAAGGATCACCTTCCTCACCCTGCTGCCAACTTTCCTCCTAATGCAGCCAGATGGTCAGCCCTCAGCATGTACTGGTGCATTGGATTGTTCCTCCCCAAGTGCAGGACTTGGCACTTCTCTTCGTTGAACTTCATGAGGTTCCTATCAGGCCATTTCTCCAGCCATAAAGGTCACTCTGGATGCCAGCACAATTTGCTGGTGTTTCAGTCACTCCTCCCAGTTTTGTATCATCTGCAAATTTGCTGAGGGTACACTCTGTCCAATCATCCAGATCATTAATGAAGATGTTGAATAGTATTGGACCCTGTATTGACCCCAGGGGTACACTGCTAATTACTAGCTCCAACTAGACTTCATACCACTGATCACAACCCTCTGAGCTTGGCCCTTCAGCCAGTTTTTAGTCTGCCTCACTGTCTGCTCATCCAGTCCATATTGCATCAACTTCTCTATGAGGATCTTATGGGAGACAATGTCAAAAGCCTTATGGAAGTCAAGGTAGACAATATCCACTGCTCTCCCCTCATCTACCAAGCCTGTTGTTTCATCATAGAATGTTATCAGGCTAATCAAGCATGCCTTCCTTTTGTGACTCCATGCTGACTACTCCTAATCACCTTCTTGTCCTTCATGTGCTCAGAAATGGTTTCCAGGATTAGTTGTTCCATCATCTTCTCAGCGATCAAGGTGAGGATGACTGGCCTGTAGTTCCCTGGGTGCTACTTCTTGCCCTTTTTGAAGACAAGGGTGATAGTTAATTTCCTCCAGTCTTTGGGCAGCTCTCCCAGTCACCATAATCAAGCTATCTCAGCACTCATGGTTACATCCCATCACAGCCCATGGATTTGAGTATGTGCAGGTTGCTAAAGTATTCCCTAACCTGATCCTTTTCAACCAAGGGTAAGTCTTCCTTGCTCCAGACTTTCCCCCTGATCTCCAGGGCCTTGGATTTCTGAAGGCCGGTCTTACTAGCAAAGGCTGAGGTGAATAGCGCACTCAGTACATCAGCCTTTTCCATGCCCTGTGTCACCAGGGCCCCTGCCCCAGTCCACAGCGTGCCCGTGTTTTCCCTCGTCTTCCTTTTGCTATTTAGGTACTTACAGAAGCCCTTCTCATTGCCTTTGACATCCCTTGCCAGATTCAACTTCAGGTGGGCTTTGGCTTTCCTAACCTCTTATCTGCATGCTCAGTGTCTCTATATTCCTCCCAGATTACCTGTCCCTGCTGCCACCTTCTGTATACTCCTATTTTATCTTTGAGTTTACCAGGAACTCCTTGTTCATCCATGCAAACCTCCTGACATTTCTGCCTGGCTTCCTGCATGTTGGGATAGACTGCTGTTGATCTTGGAGGAGGTAATCCTTGAGTATCAACCAGCTTTCTTGACCCTCTCTTCCCTCCAGGGCCATGTCCAATGGGACTCTTTCAAGCAGATCCCTGCAGAGGCCAAATTCTGTTCTCCTGAAGTCCAGGCTTGTGATCTTGCTTTTTGCCCTGCTTCTTCCTCTCAGGATCCTGAATCCCACCATATCATGGTCGGTGCTGCAAAAGCTGCCTTCGACCTTCACATCCCCAGCAAGCCCTTCCTTGTGTGAGAGTATGAGGTCCAGCAGAGCAGCTCTGCTCATTGGCACTTCTGTCACTTGTGTCGGGAAGTTGTCATCGATGCTTTCCAGAAACCTCCTGGATTGCTTATGCCCTGCTGTGCTGTCCCTGCAGCAGATATTGGGGTAGTTAAAGTCCCACATGAGGACCAGGGCCTGCAAACGTCAGCTCAACAACAGCACCTACCAAAAGTCTTTATAACAGCTTCTAGACTACTGTGCCAGTTGTATTCTTAAGTCCTTTGATATTCAGAGACTAGAGAACTAAATGAGAGATTATTGGGCATCCCATGTTGCATGCTGGCCAAGACCATGTGGTAGTAAACTCTCTAAACAGCAGGCAGCAAAAGCATTTGCAGGGGCTGGTTAAAACTTATATGTTTTTTTGTCAGTATTGTAGTTCCTACTGGGAACTCATAACCATGACTCTAACACAAATCATGAAAATTTCAGTCTATTCTATAGGGTTTGTGTGGTATACCCATGCTGTTGGAGAATATGACCGAGGATTGTTTTAGAAACTTCTAAAATAGACAGAAAAATCTTATAAATATATATTAAAACTTTATTCTGATATTTGTCATTTACTAATAGAATATTAATGGTTTATCTAAGTTATGAAGGTTGATTAAGACTTTCCAATCATTATCATGTATGAATATTACAGCAGCTGAGTGATTTTGTCTTTAAAGACCACATATTTTTTCTAAATTAGACAAGATATATTTATTTTTTTAGGATTTCCTTTTAAAGACCATTTCCAGGTCTCTCTCCCATCTCATTCTACTGTTCCTTTTTAGTAGTTTATCAAACCGAATTTCTGCTTTATGAAGAGTTCTGTCAACTGAGACAGAATAGGTTCTACTTGATCAGCACTGTCCTACTCTTTCTGTAGACAGATGAACTCCTTCTCTCTCATGAATGCTATCAAGTCTTTCATTCTCTGTTTTTAAATTATAGGACTTCCAATCTCCCTGTCTTCTTTCTTTCTATTCCTCTAGGATCAACATCCAGACCTCTCTGATTCATCTTTTCCTCAGCTTAATCTTTGCATACCACGAATGTCATCAGAGAGATAGGGCAGATAACATGAGTACCATGATTCTTTGGCTTTCTTTTTCAATATTTGACTCATGTTTCTCATGCTTTGGAACAAAAGTCTTCAGTAGCCATCTTTAGCTTTTTTCCTTGATGAAGACTCTCTGGTGACAAAGAACTCAGAAAGTCACTGAAAGAACCTTAACGCAGGTACTTTCCTGATCTGTAATCAGAATATTAGGTGATGACTATTGTCCTGGTTACGGCAGGGATAGAGTTAATTTCCTTCCTAGTAGCTGGTACAGTGCTGTGTTTTGGTTTTAGCATGAGAATAATGTTGGTAACACACCAATGTTTTAGTTGTTGCTAAGCAGTGCTTACACTAGTCAAGGACTTTGCAGCTTCCCACGCTCTACCGACTGAGAAGGCTGGAGGTGCACAAGAAGCTGGGAGGGGGCACAGCCAGGACAGCTGACCCCAACTGGCCAAAGGGATATTCCATACCATGGGACGTCATGCTCAGTACATAAACTGGGGAAAGCTGGCCGGGGGGGCCGCTGCTCAGGGACTGGCTGGGCATCGGTTCAGCAGGTGGTAAGCAACTGCACTGTGCATCACTTGCTTTGTGTAGTATGGGCATCGGTCAGCGGGTGGTGAGGAATTGCACTGTGCATCACTTGCTTTCTATATTATTATTATTATTACATTATTATTGTTATTGTTGTTATTATTTTATTTCAATTATTAAACTGTTTTTATCTCAACCCACAAGTTTTTCTCACTTCTACTCTTCCACTTCTCTCCCCCATCCCACCGGGGGGTGAGTGGGGGAGTGAGCGAGCAGTTGTGTGGTACTCAGTTGCCGACTGAGGTTAAACCACAACACTATTTACCTCATTCTATCAAATTTTGAAGTGTTCCACAAAGTGTAATGACTGTAAAAGCTTAGGGGGAAGTTCAAAACAAGGTATATGTAACAAGACAGTGGCAGTAATACCTGAATTCCAATGGTCTTCAGGGAGGTTTGCAACAGCTAACGAGAACCAGCCAGCTAGAAATACTGGATACATAAACAGAGGTGGAATTTCTGAAAAGAGGAATCAATTCATATAGATGAGGAATGTCTTAAGGAAAACAAAACTTCCATGTCTGTCTATAATGTGTGGATAACAGAATACTACTGTGCAATGTAAGAAACATTGGTAGAAGCAACTGGATGGTATTTATAAACATATCTTTGTGCCTACCTTTGCAAATCAGAACTGTTGAGGACAGTGCTATGATAATGTCACTAACACAGCAAGCATGTAAGAACTTACACAACAAACAAACAAAAAAGAGAGTTTATGACCTTTGGAAGAAGGAGCAGGCAACTCAGAAGGACTACAAAGATAACATGAGGTTATGCAGGGAGAAAATTAGAAGGGTCAAAGCCCAACTAGAACTTAATCTGGCTACTGCTGTAAAACACAATAAAAAATGTTTCTGTGAACACATTAACAACAAAAGGGCTAAGGAGAATCACTATCCTTTATTGGATGTGGGGGAAAACATAGTGACAAAGGCTGAGGAAAAGGCTGAGGTACTTAATGCCTTCTTTGCCTCAGTCTTTAATAGTAAGACCAGTTGTTCTTGGGGTAGCTAGCCCCCTGAGCTGGAAGACAGGGACAGCGAGCAGGATGAACCCCCCATAATCCAAGAGGAAGCAGTCAATGACCTGCTACACCACCTAGATGTATACAAGTCTATGGGGCTGGATGGGATCCACCCAAGGATACTGAGGGAGCTGGTGGAAGCACTCACCAAGCCACTTTCAATCCTTTATCGGCAGGGCCGGCCTTGTTGGGGGGGGACCGCCGGGA